TAGATCAGACATGCGGGACAGTGCAGTGATTACACATTACACTGATGATGTGTGTGTACAGACGGGGAAAGACTGAGAAAAGGGGGATGTCCAGGAATGTACGAACTGAGCTGAAATACACATAAATGCTGCTCGTTTTGCCCCCTGAGTAAATTGCCTACAAAGTAATATCAGAGAAGGATTTAATAAAAATGTCTTCATCATTTCCGAGTGTTTTTAAGGTGCAGCAAAGTCCGCTGATTCCATCAAGTGTAGGGTTTTAATTTAAAAATTAAAAAAACTCTAAATCAAAGATCTAACATCAACACATTCAGCCGACTATTTTATGTTTTGATCCTGTTAGGCTTCCATACAGTTTGTGACTGTTGTGGCGTTTTTAATATCAGGATTTAGGACATCCTGACAAAATTGTTGACCCTTATCATTCACAGAAACGACAACAGGGCAGTTTTCCAGTGATTAGGAGGCATTTCACACCAAACTCCGTTAATAAAAAGATGAATTATAAGTATTCTGTTGATTTTTCCCACTGAGAGCCATTCAGTGGATATTTTTAAATGAATGTTTTTACAACAATATGAGTCCTTCTTACAATCGGCGTGTGTTTTATCGACAAACTCTGTTCGTGCTGATGTGTAGGTGGCACTTCAGGATATCTAGGAAAACGGGGTGCAACAAACACAATGTATACAGCTGCAAGTTCTACAATTTGTGTAGCCTAAATGCTGCTGGTAATCTGTTTGTGATTACAATCAAATTCACATTTGCTGCAACAATCCAGAAGGCAAGCGAGCTTCCTTCTTGTCAGGTACATTAGGCAGTAACTGATTCCTTAAATTGGCTGATTTTTTTACGTCATGTTTTGGCCTACCTACCTAGGCTACACATTTTCCCACACAAGGGAGCGAAGGCGCCTGACTGTGTTGATGCAAATGCCAAAACAACAGACGAGCAGCTGCAGCCCCTCTCATGGCATCTTCCTCCGTATGACGACCATGCTGCTTCTTCCCCCTCGGAGACAAACGCTCACTCTCCAGACGGCAGAGGAAACACAGGTGTTCAAAAATACCTCATTAGACCCGCACGACACTGAAGCTGATCATCATTCACACATACCGCCTGCAGCTTGTGCCGGACGGCCGCCTTTCCGAGCAGCGGCGGCGGGTTGCCCCTCTTCTGCAGCCCCCTCCGCGGGTTCTCCCAGTCGGCTTTGTTGAACCCCTCGGCGCGGTCCTCTCTCTTCTCCCGGCTCCTGGCGCCTCCGTCCCCTCCGGAAGAGTCCAAGCTGCTGAAGTTCCACACGATGAGAGTCTGGACCAGCAGGACGGCCAGAGCCGCGACCAGCAGGGCGGACTTGGATCGCCGGGCCAGCCTGCGGGCACACGGGTTACCGTTCATCCTTCTCCTCCTCCTCCTCCTCCTCCCTCCGGCTTAGGCTGAGAGCCCCATCCGCTAAACGCCAACAGCGGGGTGTGAATGCTCCCCTACACGGCCTGAGAGGAGCTTCTGGCAGGCAGAGAGGAGGAGGAGGAGGGAGGGAGAGAGGGAGGGAGGAGGAGGGATTTTGGCAAAGGCATGAAATGAGGAGAGAGGTTTGGAAGGCAGCAGAGAGGACACAGAGGCCCTCATGTGGCCAATAACGAGGCAACAGTTTAGAGAAAGTATTTATTTTCTCATTCACAGCGAATGACGTAGCTGCAGTTTTTGAAACAGCGAAGAAGAGAAGCAGCGGGGGGGTCCGGTCTGTGCAGGGCCTGAAGCAGCGTCTGCACGGCCCCTGGGCTGCGTTTTAGTGGCCACCTTAATACGAATAGTTAGCCTATCAGAAAATAACATGCAGATTGAATTAACTTAAAGGCTTTATATGTGATTTTTCACTCTTAAATATAATAGAAATGAAGTATATCCTCTGAAAATAACTCTGTGAGTCATGACTGTCTACAGTGGAATCAATCTTTATTGGACAGGTACACAAAAGTTTACACATTAACAACACAAGTAAACGATATATAGACTGATGTCTGATGAGGAGGATAACAATATTTACAAGATAAAGGGAGTGATCGTAACATGTGGTTGGCGTTTATTCAGATTTGTTTGTCACCCTTACCGCTAATACTCTTACTTTGCAATTTTTTTATTATTATTTAATTTGTACCTTTTCCTAAAGAAGAGTATGTAAGGAGTACTTCAATGAAATAATCTTCCTCCTCTCTTTGTTTTTACTCTGTATGTCTTGCCCCAATTCTCAGTACTTTTATGTTTTTTTATTTATTTAAATGAAACTGCTGCATGAATTCCTATCTATCTATCTTGTAATTTAATAATTTGAAAGAGGTATTTGATTCTTGTGTGAATAAAGTTTGGTCTTTGCATGTTTCTTAATGGTGCATCCAGCAGAGTAAATGTGGCCCCGTCCAACTGTTGGAAGATACAATGAAATTCAATAAAAGAATGACTCCAATGAATTTTATACACAAACAAAGTGTCCTTTGTGTGATCGGAGGAAACGATTACCTCTACCGTATACATTATGTATCATCAGCCATGCAGAAAACACGCACACGCATTGCGCTCCAGCAGCTCTGTGAATCTACTCGCCCAACTAATACACTTTCCAGCAGATTAGTTTGATTTCATGCATATTGCAGAGAAGTGCCAGCGATCTAATTGAGTGAACATCCAAAAATAGACTCCATTTCTCCTCCTTCCACTCTCTCTTAAACTGTCTTCTTCCAGACGTCTCATTTCAGACGTCATGGACTCACTGGATCGTCTCCTTATATATTAATATGATTAAAATTTGACTTGTTGGAGACTTTTTTCTTTTCCTAAGCCAGCATGCAGCTATGGTTAGAGACTGTATCCTGCATCAAGGGTTGCAATCCATTTTGCAACATCCAGGGTTGCAAAATCACGGCATGGAGCTGCAGTTCCATGAGTGGCCACTTGAGGCTGGCCGTAAAAGTGAGTCAATCTTCATAGAGCATGATTCAAATGTGCCCAACTTATAAACATGTTTGAAGCCTGGTACCAAAATTATATTGGCCTTTTTGGCTTATTTCTGTTTTTATGACAACTGTGTTGGTTTAATTTTTTATTAAAATCACTTTTTTTGTATATGTGAATAAAGAAACAATAACAAGGGACGATATGGCTCCAAAAGTTTCAGTCCCCTTTGTTACTTTTACTGGCATTACCCTGGACTCTAACTTTCTGATGTTTCCTGATTCTGTGGGTGATATAGATGTGTGAGAAAGCTCTGTTTACATCATATGACTCATTTAGCCAATACACCTTTTAGAAGAATGTACAGAATGTATGATGTTATCATAAGCTGTGAAGGTCATACAAGACAGCAGTGCGCTCTTAGTTGTGTAAACAGGTTTTACAGGTCCGTACTGGTTCTGCGGTCCACGTAACCATCCAAATATCATGATCTTTACTGGAGAACCTCGACAGGTTATAATTAATGAAAAGACAGAGCAATGAAATGACAGCACTTTGCATGAAACATTCTTAATCTTTTGTAAAAATTAAAATAGATTGTTCCTTTTTTATTTGGCGCCTCTTGCAGCTAAAATCAGTCATCACTTTGCTTTCAACAGAACAAATCAGCAAACCTGATTTTATGGAACCAATTTATTTTAAGGGTTACATTTGGCAGTGATACAAAATGCAATGTCTTGATTCATTATACAAATATATAAAAATACATTTGACCATTCAAATAAAATTGGTATCATCTCTTAGAGCTCACATGTAGCCTCGTGCACCCCATCCACCGAAGGGTTGGGCTGGGTACGGGGATGGCATGGCACTTGGTTTGATGGCACTAATGATCTTGATTCGATTGGGATCCCAGACACAATCCTCCTCCAAACCACTTGGCACCATTCCACAATTTGGTGGCACCCAGGCGGTGTCAAACACCTCGCCATATCTGGAATCATGCCAGGTTTTCTGGCGTGGGTGGCCTTGTTTATTGATGGCGATCACTTTTCCCACATTGACCACAACCTTAATGACGACCCTGTCATACTCAGGATGATCGATGGGATAGCGTCTAGCTTTCTCCAGGTCTCTGCTGAGGTAGACGCCGGGCCCGAGCATCCCACCTGAAGACTGCTGAAAACCTGTGGCCATGATGGACCGAGCAGCCTCACTGGTGGTGCCGTGGTACATGACGTACTTTTTATCATTAACTGGCGCAGAGAGACCGAGTCGAACGACCCCAGGGGGCAGCTCAAAGTCATTTTCAGCCCACTGCATGATGATGTCTGGATTACTGTCACTGTAAGAAAGAGGATTGTCAATGTTAAAACTTTAGAGGGACTTTGCATGAAACATTCTTAATCTTTTGTAAAAATTAAAATAGATTGTTCCTTTTTTATTTGGCGCCTCTTGCAGCTAAAATCAGTCATCACTTTGCTTTCAACAGAACAAAACAGCAAACGTGATTTTATGGAACCAATTTATTTTAAGGGTTACATTTGGCAGTGATACAAAATGCAATGTCTTGATTCATTATACAAATATATAAAAATACATTTGACCATTCAAATAAAATTGGTATCATCTCTTAGAGCTCACATGTAGCCTTGTGCACCCCATCCACCGAAGGGTTGGGCTGGGTACGGGGATGGCATGGCACTTGGTTTGATGGCACTAATGATCTTGATTCGACTGGGATCCCAGACACAATCCTCCTCCAAACCACTTTTCACCATTCCACAATTTGGTGGCACCCAGGCGGTGTCATACATCTCGCCATATCTGGAATCATGCCAGGTCATCTGACGTGGGTGGCCCTGATAATTGATGGCGATCACTTTGCCCACATTGACCACAACCTTAATGACGACCCTGTCATGCTCAGGATGATCGATGGGATAGCGTCTAGCTTTCTCCAGGTCTCTGCTGAGGTAGACGCCGGGCCCGAGCATCCCACCTGAAGACTGCTGAAAACCTTTGGCCATGATGGACCGAGCAGCCTCACTGGTGGTGCCGTGGTACATGACATACTTTTTACCATTAACTGGCGCAGAGAGACCGAGTCGAACGACCCCAGGGGGCAGGTCAAAGTCATTTTCAGCCCACTGCATGATGATGTCTGGATTACTGTCACTGTAAGAAAGAGGATTGTCAATGTTAAAACTTTAGAGGGATGTGAAGAAACTTAATATCAAAGGAATTTAAATCATTTAGGAATCAAGATAGACTTTATTGTCCCCGGAGGGAAAATGTTTCAGTTACAAGAGAATAACAAAATAAAATACATAAATATAGATCGTACAGAACATAGAGCAGACCATGTGACAGTTCTACTTTTAAATAAAAAACACCTTCTTGCAGCAGTGACATATTGGCATAGTGCACAGCCTACATTACTTTTTATTTAGAATATTAATTAGAATTAGAATTATTTTACTGGATCCAAGGCATCACAAAATGCTTTCCATTCTATACAGTATAAAAGATTCTTTGATTGAAGACCTTTATTTAATTAGCAAAAATCTCCCAAAACTTGTAAAACTTGCAACAGTTTTTCTGTGATAATACACCAAAAATAATCAGTCTCTATTCTGTTGTTCATTTTTATTCAGAGAGTTGTCCTAATGGATTGATTTGCAGTCTTCCAGCCCTGACCTGATTATAAAGTTATTCTCCATTATTGAAACTTTATGTCAACTTTTAAAGTGTTATAATGTTCTGAGTAATTCCTGGTGTGGCTGAAGCTTTACTCTGATGGACAAACAGTTAACAGGAAATCACTTATATATATTTCCTTTGTAAAAAATAAAAGAGAAAGACTTTATATAGTTAAAAAAAGAAAAAGTAAAGTTGTGTTCACATACCTGTCCTCACTCCAGATCCGTCCAAGTGTGCGCGCTCTGAGTTCAGTCTGCTTTATAAAGGATCAGGTAGGAAAAAACATCTGCATACATGTCTTACTTTCACTTTTGTTTCACTCATGCACTGTTTTATAAGTTACAAGTTCAGTCAGTTCTGTTTATTTAGGTGTGGGTTTATACACATGGAAAGTTTGATTTCTGTTTTGGCAACAGGCTGCAGAGTGATCAGAGAATCAGGGCGTAGTAAGAAGTTAACAAAAGGTGGAAGAAAAAATCTATTTATATCTAAAATCTGAATCTATTCCTGCACAAAAAGTTCAACAGCTGGGCTCTTTCATACAATGTTTTACAATGATTGATTATCCTTCAAGTCAAAGGTGGAAGTTCAACACATTGGCTGTGTTGCAACAGGCTGCCAGTGATAACAGGTTAGTAGGACATTTTCTATTTTTGGGCACTTTTATTCAGTGATCTGTAGAGACGTTTCGAGTCCTTAAAGAATTATCAGTGGAAGATTAAGATGTTGTCTGAATCTATGACGACAAAAACGTCTCCTCCTTACCTAAACTATCTCCTCTAGGTCTACACTCCCTCCCGCCCACTACGCTCTGCCAATGAAAGGCATCTGATCCAACCTTCACAACAGGGTCCTAAGTCTCTGACTAGACTCTTCTCCTCTGTCGCCCCCCGGTGGTTGATCGAACTTCCAAACTCCATTCGATCTGCAGAATCCCTCTGCAGCTTTAAGAAAAAGAAAAAGACACAGCTCTTTATGAACACATACGACCTTAAAGATGATGACGATGATGATGATGGTTTTAATATGGTTTCTATACTGATTAGAGCTCTCAAGAACAGCTGTCGATGTTGTGCTTTGCCTCTGGTCACTTCCTGTCAGCACCTGTGTGTCCGATCGTAGTTAAAGCTGATCGTTTGCACTTCCTGACGTTGTTGCCTCCTCTCTAGGTCTTTGCTTGTGTTGCTCTTACGCTCTGATGTTCCTCACATTGGATAAAAGCGTCTGCTAAGTGAATTGTAGAATTGTCACTCTGCACTCATATTTTAACTTAAATAATTTACAATAATTTAATAATTACACAGGAATACAACATCAGTGTGATACTTTAATTTTAAAGCAGTAAAAGTATAATAAGCGATTACAGAAATAGCATTCAAATTCTATAAAGACATGTGTGCAACATTGACTGTATACAAAGAGGGACAACACATCACCACCTTCTACAGTTTACAACAGTGAAGCCAAACGACTCCTGTGACAGACACTGACAGATTTCTCCTTTCAGTACAGGGATCAGCTGTGAGAGCTGAGGCGTTGATGTCACACCGCTCCTGCTAACACATTTAACTTCATGATAAAACTTCACAGCTCTCTCAGGTGGGTTCAGTCCACAGCAGAACGGATTCTTGTGTCGCTTTGAAGCAGACGCTCACGGGTGTGTTCGTTATGTTTCCTCTCTCTGTTTCTGATAACCTGCTGCACACAGGTCCGAACAATAAGGTCTTACACCTGCTTTTTGGCCTTGTCATTTGGCACTATACAAATATGTATTTATTGATTGAGCGCTGCAGGAGCCTCATTTGTCAACAGAGCTGTCACTCATTATACTCCATTTTATAGAATCAAATAATAACTAAAAATGAAACTTCTCAGAAAAGGAGGGAGGACTTGAACCCAAATCAGCATGATAATAACAAGCTAGCAGACAGAAACAGGGTTTGAGAAAACTTTTCTTGACCTGTATTTTCATTTTAAAGTTCGCCCCATGTCCCAATTGATAACACAAAGGAGGCCGAGCTTATGACCTATACTGCAGCCGGTCAGTAGATGGAGCTCTAAATCTGCTTGGCTTCACTTTGAGTGAGGTGTTGTCCAAAACGCTGGACGCATCCCACACCCCTGATCAGTGTGAAAATTTCACCCCCCCCCCTCATCAAGAATGGAAATCTCTCCCTCAGAGTCTGAATCATACATTACTATCTCCTTACTTGGCAGTAGAGGCCCTGATCTCTCAGGAAGCTGGTGCTCTTGTTGCATTTACTTTTTTTTCTGCAGCTGTGTTTTAGTTTTTTATTTTCCTCAGGCTTATTATCTGCAGCCAAGAGAAGTCTGCTTTTGTTTGTGAATTAAAAGTTAAAAGCTGCTTTATTCAGCATTATATTTCAGAATAATAATTAAGTAGAAAGTGGAAATGAAAATACACAACAAAAGAACAAGAACCTCGAAGGTGCTGTGGGGAATGCAGGTGCATTCAGGAACGTGTTCTTAAGTACTAAGTGCAAAAAAACATCCTTTCTTTGTTCATTGTTGTGTAGCATCTGTAACATTTTTATTAGTGTTAAGTGCACTTGTGCAGAATCAGATATTTCAGAGGAGAACCTCTTCAAATACAATAAAAACACTCATCACACTGCTTCAGTATGACTAGACAGGGAATGATCAGGGAAAAGACAACACATAGGGATGTCATTTAGTTTCTACCTAAAGCTGCAAACAATAAGATTGCAGCAACGCCAAAGACTGCAGTAGCCACCGCAGCCAGTCCACCACCTTCAGTTGGGGTGTTGGATGTCTGGATTGGCTGGATGATTTTGATGATCTCGATTCGACTGGGATCCCAGACGCAATCCTCCTCCAAACCGCTTGGCACCATTCCACAATTTGGTGGCACCCACGCGGTGTCAAACACCTCCCCATATCTGGAGTCATGCCAGGTTTTCTGGCGTGGGTGGCCCTGACGATTGATGGCGATCACTCTCCCCACATTGACCACGACCTTAATGACTACCTTGTCAGACTCAGGATGTCTGATGGGATAGCGGCTGGCTTTATCCAGGTCTCTGCTGAGGTAGACTCCAGGGCCGAGCATCCCATCCGTAGACTGACAAAAACCTGTGGCCTGGATGAACCGAGCAGCCTGCCTGGTGGTGCCGTGGTACATGACGTACCTTTTACCACTGACCGGCTGAGAGAGACCAAGTTGAGTGACGCCATAGGGCAGACCACCATCATCCTCAGCCCACTGGTACGGCATGCTGGTGTCAGTATCACTGTAAGAAAGAGGAATATTTTATCAATCAGTTTTTATTAATACAGAGCCAAACTGATTTTTTTAACTATCACTGGAACTTGGATCTGCTCAGCGTGATGGTGTCAGTAACAGGCTTTCCAACAGCATAAGATTTTTTGCCAAGAAGCATTGTTACAACAACAAAATAATCTATCAAACACAAATGTCCTTACTTTTTGTGCGATGTTTATGTTTATGAAAATCCAATCCACTTCCTCCGGGGTGCCGGTTTCTGAGTGGTTAAGGCCCATGTACAGAGGTTTTAATCGTCAAAGCAGATGGCCTGAGTTTGAATCAGACCTGATGCTCCTCCCTGCATGTCGTTCCCCACTCACTCTCTCTCTCCCCTCTCCCCAAGTTACAACTCTATCCACTGTTCTATTGCTGTCGTTTGAAAGGTTGAACCATAACAGAAACACACAATCTGGACAGCAACAGGCACAAACCAATATGTTTTTAACCTCTGAATTTGGCCAAGTCATAAGCTCATGTTCTGATACACGTACACACATACCCACCCACTCATTCCTGTTAAGAGACCAACTGTCTGTCCAAGAAACTTTTAGGACATGGTCCTTATATAGCACACATGTTGTAATTGCTCAGTGTGTATAAAATAACTGCTCCAAGAGAAATAAACAGATCCTCGATTCACAAGCCATAGTGTCTGTCTGATTGTTCAAGAGCATTTACTCTTCTACACTATCTCATAAGAAAGGCATCAAAGCCTGTTGTTTCGGATTCATTTTTTGTGTGTGAAAAATGTGAACCCCTGCTGCCCCTTGTGACCGACATTTCAAAATCTGTAAACACCAGGAATAAGCGGATTTGGTTCACTTACCTCTCTGAGAGTTCTTCCACGACTTCTCTCTCTGACTTCCTTCAGCTGTGTTTAACGCTGTTGAGCTGCGAGGGGAGTTTTTAGAGGAAGGTATGCACACTTTCACTTTCTATATCCTGTTTTAAACTGTTATTTGAGTTGGTTTACACCCAGGAAAAAACTTATTAATAGCAGCCGTGATGTGAGTTGACTTTCTTGTAAATGGATCAGCGACCTCAGGAGGCTTTTTTTTAAAATCAGTTTTCTGCTCTTTAGTTCCTTTTGTGTTTCTTTTTTAATCATTCTGTTTCTCTCTCTGTTATTTTTATATTACTTTGTTGCCTTGTGTTACAATTTTATATTATTTTGTGACTTTGTTGGTGTTTTTGTTTCATTTCAGGGACTTTGTGACCTTTAGACCTTTCATTGCTTTGTTACTTTGAGTTTCTTTATGTATTACTTTTTGTAAATGTTGTTTCCTTTTTTGTGTTTATGTGACTTTGTTGATATTTTGAGTTTCTTTTCAGTGACTGTGTGACCTTTGACCCTTTTGTGTGACTTTGTAGTTATTCATAGTGATTGTTTTTGGATTTGTTTGTAGTTAATTTGAGTTTATTGTTTGGATATTTATTCAACTTTGTAGATGTATCATGTTTGTTTTTTGTAACTTTGTATTATTTTGTGACTTTGTTGATGTTTTGACCTTTTGTGTGACTTTTTAGTTACACCGATACATTTTTTTAAAGATATATCGTGATCGTACTTTGTGTCCTTTGGATGTTTTTGTATCTTCTTAAAAATGTTTATTATTTTGTAGATATTTTGTGTTTCTAATTAGTTAGTTGCATAATCGTCAGGCTTATTATCTGCAGCCAAGAGAAGTCTGCTTTTGTTTGTGAATTAAAAGTTAAAAGCTGCTTTATTCAGCATTATAATTCAGAATAATAATTAAGTAGAAAGTGGAAATGAAAATACACAACAGAACAAAAACCTTGAAGGTGCTGTGGGGAATGCAGGTGCATTCAGGAACGTGTTCTTAAGTACTAAGTGCAAAAAAACATCCTTTCTTTGTTCAACATTTTTATTAGTGTTAAGTGCACTTATGCAGAATCAGATATTTCAGAGGAGAACCTCTTTAAATACAATAAAAACACTCATCACACTGCTTCAGTATGACTAGACAGGGAATGATCAGGGAAAAGATAACACATAGGGATGTCATTTAGTTTTTACCTAAAGCTGCAAACAATGAGGTTGCAGCAGCACCAAAGACTGCAGTAGCCACCACAGCCAGTCCAGCACCTTCGATTGAGGTGTTTGATGTCTGGATTGGCTGGATGATTTTGATGATGTTGATTCGACTGGGATCCCAGACGCAATCCTCCTCCAAACCGCTTGGCACCATTCCACAATTTGGTGGCACCCAGGCGGTGTCAAACACCTCCCCATATCTGGAGTCATGCCAGGTTTTCTGGCGTGGGTGGCCCTGACAATTGATGGCGATCACTCTCCCCACATTGACCACAACCTTAATGACGACCCTGTCATACTCAGGATGTCTGATGGGATAGCGGCTGGCTTTAGCCAGGTCTCTGCTGAGGTAGACTCCAGGGCCGAGCATCCCATCCGTAGACCGACAAAAACTTGTTGCCTGGATGGATTGAGCAGCCTGTCTGGTGGTGCCGTGGTACATGACGTACCTTTTACCACTGACCGGCTGAGAGAGACCAAGTTGAGTGACGCCATACGGCAGACCACCATCATCCTCAGCCCACTGGTACTGCATGCTGGTGTCAGTATCACTGTAAGAAAGAGGAATATTTTATCAATACAGAGCCAAACTGATTTTTTTTAACTATCACTGGAACTTGGATCTGCTCAGCATGATGGTGTCAGTAACACTGAAAGAAATGTGATTAATTAAACCATTCTTATTCATACAGAGACAAAGATAAACTAAAGACACTTTACAAGTGCAGCAGTCACCACCATAGAAAACAATATTTATGCTTATTAACCCGTTCATTGCCGGCTACTAGATTAAAGGGGACGTATTCAGAAAAATCCACTCGTACAGTGTTTCTGAACATTTATTTGGGTAACCTGAGTCTCTACTGACCCACAACATATTAAATAAACCCATCCAATTCTTTTGTTTGTGGTCTGCATAAGTCTTACAACACAGAAAAATGCTCTGTTTCAAATGTGCTCTCCTTGTGATGTCACAGTGGGATTCTGGTAAAAATAAATCCCCTCCCCTCTCCTGGTATCTCCACCCATAGACTCCACCCCCAGCCTAGAGAAAAACTTTTGCGCACGTCCGCCATTTTTATTCTTGCTACAGAGGAGTGATGTCTACCGGGAAAACTGAGAGGGGGGGGGTGTCATTGCATTTAAAGAGACACACACACCAAAACGGAGCATTCTGAGAAAGCTGGTTTATACAGGGTCACAAACCTCCTCTGGTGCTTGATTCATGTTATATTTTGACCAAAGCACAGCACAGATGTTTCATTTAAACCTCAGGGGGACTGTTTGAAAAGGTGGAGGAGGGGGAGAATATTCCTCTTTAACTATGTTCTGGAAAAATCCTACAAAGAAACACAAAACTCGGAGTGGAGACTGGGAAAACAAAACATATGGTTACTTGAAACAATATTAATTGATTGTTCAAGAGCATTTACTCTTCTACACTATCTCATAAGAAAGGCATCAAAGCCTGTTGTTTCGAATTCATTTTTTGTGTGTGAAAAATGTGAACCCCTGCTGCCCTTGTGACCGACATTTCAAAATCTGTAAACACCAGGAATAAGCGGATTTGGTTCACTTACCTCTCTGAGAGTTCTTTCACTGTGAGGGCACTCACTCTTTCTGCTCGGTGAGAGTGGTGAGAGAATCAACTCATTGCAATCAGATGTGTGTGGCACTGATTGGCTTTGATTAAGTCCAGGTGTGGGAAGTTTTCATATACCCTGAGTCTCCTGTGGTCTGTGCTGACTCATTATCTCACCTTCAGAGGTAGTGAGAGGTTCTCCCTGTGGTTTCTCAAGTCGTTGTGTGTATTTACGTATAAACACCAACTAAGAACTTTCTACATAAGCTTTCCGTTGCTGGTCTCCCAGTGTTTAAATTGGGGTGCTGGATAGTTTCGTGTCTACTCCAGTCTTTTGTGTTATCAAAGGTCTCTCTGGCAGCCTTTGCTTTTTGTTTCGTGTTTTCTGGGGCTCCTGGACAATTTTTGTTTTGAGTCAGCTTCTTGGCAGCAGTGGTTTAGTTACTCCTTTTCGGTGGCTTATTTAGGTTAGGAAGCCTGTTGTGGCTCTAAACAGTTCTGTTGTTTCTTCCCCCCTTTCCAATATATCGCTATTGCGATTTTGTGGTTATCCTTCTGGGATAACTGTAAGACACCCCTGGGTCCGAACTTTGAGTTTACTGCTTGGATATTTGTAGACATATCATGTTTGTTTTTTGTAACTTTCTGTTATTTTTTGTGGCTTTGTTGATGTCTTGAGTTTCTTTTCAATGACTATGTGACCTTTTGACCCTTTTGTGTGACTTTGTAGTTATTTGTAGTTACTCAGTGATTGTTTTTGGATTCTTTTTTGGTTAATTTGAGTTTATTGTTTGGATATTTATTCAACTTTGTAGATGTATCATGTTTGTTTTTTGTAACTTTGTGTTATTTTTGTATTATTTTGTGACTTTGTTGATGTTTTGCTCTTTTGTGTGACTTTTTAGTTACATTGAGTTTCTTTTTTTTATACATTTTTTTTAAAGATATATCGTGATCGTACTTTGTGTCCTTTGGATGTTTTTGTGTCACTGTTTTGTATCTTTTTAAAAATGTTTATTTTGTAGATATTTTGTGTTTCTAATTAGTTACTTGCATAATCTTCAGGCTTATTATCTGCAGCCAAGAGAAGTCTGCTTTTGTTTGTGAATTAAAAGTTAAAAGCTACTTTATTCAGCATTATAATTCAGAATAATAATTAAGTAGAGATTAAGTGAAAATACACAACAAAAGAACAAGAACCTTGAAGGTGCTATGGGGAATGCAGGTGCATTCAGGAACATGTTCTTAAGTACTAAGTGCAAAAAAACATCCTTTCTTTGTTCATTGTTGTGTTGCATCGGTAACATTTTTATTAGTGGTAAGTGCACTTGTGCAGAACCAGACATTTCAGAGGAGAACCTCTTTAAATACAAAAAACACTCATCACACTGCTTCAGTATGACTAGACAGGGAATGATCAGGGAAAAGATAACACATAGGGATGTCATTTAGTTTTTACCTAAAGCTGCAAACAATAAGGCTGCAGCAGCACCAAAGATTCCTGCAGTAGCCACCGCAGCCAGTCCAGCACCTTCGATTGAGGTGTTTGATGTCTGCATTGGCTGGATGATTTTGATGATCTGGATTCGACTGGGATCCCAGACGCAATTCTCCTCCGAACCGCTTGACACCATTCCACATCTGGGTGGCACCCACGCGGTGTCAAACACCTCCCCATATCTGGAATCATGCCAGGTTTTCTGGCGTGGGTGGCCCTGACGATTGATGGCGATCACTTTCCCCACATTGACCACGACCTTAATGACGACCCTGTCATACTCAGGGTGACCAATGGGATAGCGGCTGGCTTTATCCAGGTCTCTGCTGAGGTAGACTCCAGGGCCGAGCATCCCATCCGTAGACCGACCAAAACCTGTTGCCTGGATGGATTGAGCAGCCTGCCTGGTGGTGCCGTGGTACATGACGTACCTTTTACCACTGACCGGCTGAGAGAGACCAAGTTGAGTGACGCCATACGGCAGACCACCATCATCCTCAGCCCACTGGTACGGCATGCTGGTGTCAGTATCACTGTAAGAAAGAGGAATATTTTATCAATACAGAGCCAAACTGATTTTTTTAACTATCACTGGAATAGTCAAAAAAATCCCCCTCTCCTCCCCTCCCCTCCCCTCTCCTGGTATCTCCACCCATGGACTCCACCCCCAGCCTGGGGAAAAAACTTTTGCACACGTCCGCCATTTTTATTCTTGCTACAGAGGAGTGATGTCTACCGGGAAAACTCAGGGGGCCGGGCTCATTGTATTTAAAAAGACACACACCAAAACGGAGTGTTCTGAGAGAGCTGGTTTATACAGGGTCACAAACCTCCTCTGGTGCTTGATTCATGTTATATTTTGACCAAAGTACAGCACAGATGTTTCATTTAGACCACAGGGACTGTTGAAAAGGTGGAGGGGGGAGAATATTCCTCTTTAACTATGTTCTGGAAAAATCCTACAAAGAAACACAAAACTTGGAGTGGAGACTGGGAAAAAAAAAAAAACGTGTGGTTACGTGAAACAATATTAAAATGTTTGATTTTAATCAAACATTTTAAGATTTGGCAAGTTTTTCATGGCACAACCACTTACTCAGCTCTGCTGCTCATCCCACAAATGTATGTTCCTTACAAATGCCATTTAAAAGGAAATAAACAGGCTTTCCAACAGCATAAGATTTTTGCCAAGAAGCATTGTTACAACAACAAAATAATCTACCAAACACAAATGTCCTTACTTTTTGTGCGATGTTTATGTTTATGAAAATCCAAACCACTTCCTCCGGGTGCCGTTTCTGAGTGGTTCAGGGCCATGTACAGGTTTTAATCCTCAAAGCAGATGGCCTGAGTTTGAATCAGACCTGATGCTCCTCCCTGCATGTCGTTCCCCACTCACTCTCTCTCTCCCCTCTCCCCAAGTTACAACTCTATCCACTGTCCTATCTCATAAGAAAGGCATCAAAGCCTGTTGTTTCAGATTTGTTTTTGTGTGTGAAAAATGTGAACCCTGCTGCCCCTTGTGGCTGACATTTTAAAATCTTCATTTAAGAAAAACAGGCGCTTTAGCCTCTCGAACGACTTCAAAAACATGAAGCTGATTTAGTTCTCCTCTCATTTCCTGCTTTAAATGCTGTGAAGGAAATCATTAACCTCCACCCCGCTTTACTTTTTATATTCATGATCATGTGGTTTTCATTCGGCAGAAATAATTTTAAATGAAAAGAAAGTAAGAAATAAAACATCAGTTGCTGTTATCAAGGGGTTAATAGATTAAAAAAAGTAGTTGACATATCTGGAACAGCCCTCGCTCTCCTCATATTTATCAAAAAGTCAATGTCATATTCAGAATACCTTTCTGTAAACACTTCTCAGGAATAAGCGGATTTGATTCACTTACCTCTCTGAGAGTTCTTCCACGACTTCTCTCTCTGACTTCCTTCAGCTGTGTTTAACGCTGTTGAGCTGCGAGGGGAGTTTTTAGAGGAAGGTATGCACACTTTCACTTTCTATATCCTGTTGTAAACTGTTATTTGAGTTGGTTTACACCCAGGAAGAAACTTAGCAGCCGTGATGTGAGTTGACTTTCTTGTAAATGGATCAACGACCTCAGGAGGCTTTTTTAAAAAATCAGTTTTCTGCTTTTTTGTTCCTTTTGTGTTTCTTTTTTAATCATTCTGTTTCTCTCTCTGTTATTTTTATATTACTTTGTTCTGCCCTTGTTTATGTTTTGAGTTTCTTTCCGATGACTTTGTGATTGTTTTTAAAAAATATATTTGTGACTATTTGTGAGCTAAGGTGTTGATGTCACACCGCTCCGCTTTGAAGCAGACGCTCACGGTTGTTCGTTATGTTTCCTCTCTCTGTTTCTGATAACCTGCTGCACACAGGTCCGAACAATAAGGTCTTACACCTGCTCTTTGGCCTTGTCATTAGATGCTATACAAATATGTATTTATTGATTGAGCGCTGCAGGAGCCTCATTTGTCAACAGAGCTGTCACTCATTATACTCCATTTTATAGAATCAAATAATAACTAAAAATGAAACTTCTCAGAAAAGGAGGGAGGACTTGAACCCAAATCAGCATGATAATAACAAGCTAGCAGACAGAAACAGGGTTTGAGAAAACTTTTCTTGACCTGTATTTTCATTTTAAAGTTCGCCCCATGTCCCAATTGATAACACAAAGGAGGCCGAGCTTATGACCTATACTGCAGCCGGTCAGTAGATGGAGCTCTAAATCTGCTTGGCTTCACTTTGAGGGAGGTGTTGTCCAAAACGCTGGACGCATCCCACACCCCTGATCAGTGTGAAAATGTCATGCCCCCCCCCCCCCTCATCAGGAATGGAAATTTCCCCCTCAGAGTCTGAATCATACATTACCATCTCCTTACTTGACAGTAGAGGCCCTGATCTGTTTTTCTGCAGCTGTGTTTTAGTTTTTTATTTTCTTCAGGCTTATTATCTGCAGCCAAGAGAAGTCTGCTTTTGTTTGTGAATTAAAAGTTAAAAGCTGCTTTATTCAGCATTATAATTCAGAATAATAATTAAGTAGAGATTAAGTGAAAATACACAACAAAAGAACAAGAACGTTGAAGGTGCTGTGGGGAATGCAGGTGCATTCAGGAACGTGTTCTTAAGTACTAAGTGCAAAAAAACATCCTTTCTTTGTTCATTGTTGTGTTGCATCGGTAACATTTTTATTAGTGTTAAGTGCACTTGTGCAGAATCAGACATTTCAGAGGAGAACCTCTTTAAATACAAAAAACACTCATCACACTGCTTCAGTATGACTAGACAGGGAATGATCAGGGAAAAGACAACACATAGGGATGTCATTTAGTTTCTACCTAAAGCTGCAAACAATAAGGCTGCAGCAGCACCAAAGATTATAATAGCCAGCTTAACCAGTCCACCACCTTCATTCGGCCTTGGCTGCATGTTCAGGTTGATCTGGATGTTCTGGTTGATCTGGATTCGATTGGGATCCGACAGTACAGTATCACTGTGAGAAAGAGGAATATTTTATCAATCAGTTTTTATTAATACAGAGCCAAATTGATTTTTTTAACTATCACTGGAACTTGGATCTGCTCAGCATGATGGTGCCAGTAACACTGAAAGAAATGTGATTAATTAAACCATTCTTATTCATACAGAGACAAAGATAAACAAAAGACACTTTACAAGTGCAGCAGTCACCACCATAGAAAACACTATTTATGCTTATTAACCTGTTCATTACCGGCTACTAGATTAAAGGGGACGTATTCATGAGAACAACCCATCCGGGTACTTTGCCCAAATGATGCCAGCCCCGCCCCTTTCTGGGTGAAATCATTCCATCTGAATGAATGGCAGTTAATGGACAAGTTGGGGTCTTTACTGATTCAAAGTCTAAAAAAATTGAAAACGTACTTTAAAACGAAAAGTATGAGTCTAAATCTGATGACCAGTGATGTAAACATTTAAAATATAACATTTCTGAACAGAGATCGGCATCATAACGGTATAAAATTAACCATGTACATGAGTGTCTGTTCAATATGTCTCTGTCAAACTGCTCAAACGAGTCATCAGAGGAAACTGACTTTAAACACCTGATGAGTAATTATTAACCGTGTTACCTGAGAGGGATCTTTATCTTTAAATAATATTTATTTGTAATAGTTTCTAACAGTGTTCAGAGCTGTAATGGAGAGGTTACAGACGTTTATTTTAGAGAAAAGGGGACATAAACTCTGAGTTATCAGCTGATTTAGAATAACACATGTAAAGTCACCTGGATGATATTAAAACCTTTTGTATTCATACGTGAGTGTAAATAATGATGAGTGGGGCGAGTTGAGGTGTTATATCGAGCTAGCCAACTTGTTTTTTAAGATGTATTTTGGCTTTTTGTGCCTTTAATGCAGAGAGAGGACAGTGGATAGAGTTGGAAACCAGGGAGAGAGAGCGGGGAATGACATGCAGAAAGGGGCCACGGGTGGAAGTGAACCCGGGCCTACCGCTCAAGACGAGAGTCTCAATACATGGGACACGCGCCCTAACCATTGTGCCACCAGCGCGCCCGCCAACTTTTTATTTTGACATTTATTTTTCAATAAGAGGATTTGGTGTAGTGTTCCTTCGTTTAGAGACATGTTCACCAACATATTTATGTGACGTGACATTTGAAATGTTGTTAATACGTTAGTGAATGAATGTGTGAAGAATCTGGTAACAGACTTCTCTTCTGTCACAGAGTGATCGCTGCCTTAAAGCTAGCAGGAACATGACAGCGGTCCCACAATTTACCACTTTAATCTGCTCTAGTTTCAGTCCAAACACACACAGCTCTTCTTTTACCCTCCTTTGTCCTTTGTAAATGAAAACCCGATACTAAATTGTGTTTTTAAAATTGTTTGAAGTTCAAAAAGCTACGCAATCACGTTTAATCTCATGGCTACCAGTGTTTTCTAATCTAACGCTGGTACATTCTCAGGGCTTGTTTTCACCCTAACAGGGGCGTGGTCACTCTGGTGAGCTGGAAGTGACGTTCGACTGCTCTTATGAATTCTGAAAAATCCACTCTTGGCCATGATGGATTGAGCAGCCTGCCTGGTGGTGCCGTGGTACATGACGTACCTTCTACCACTGACCAGCTGAAAGCGACCAAGTTGACTGACCCCAGGGGGCAGACCACCATCATCCTCAGCCCACTGGGACAGCATGCTGGTGTCAGTATCACTGTAAGAAAGAGGAATATTTTATCAATACAGAGCCAAATTGATTTTTTTTAACTATCACTGGAACTTGGATCTGCTCAGCATGATGGTGTCAGTAACACTGAAAGAAATGTGATTAATTAAACCATTCTTATTCATACAGAGACAAAGATAAACTAACTACTAACTATTGCATTTAAAGAGACACACACACCTCTGAATTTGGCCAAGTCATAAGCTCATGTTCTGATACACGTACACACATACACACATACCCACACACTCTTTCCTGTTAAGAGACCAGCTGTCTGTCCAAGAAGAGAAATAAACAGATCCTCGATTCACAAGCCGTAATGTCTGTAGTAGTGTCTGTCTGATTGTTCAAGAGCATTTACTCTTCTACACGATCTCATAAGAAAGGCATCAAAGCCTGTTGTTTTGGATTCATTTTTTGTGTGTGAAAAATGTGAACCCCTGCTGCCCCTTGTGACCGACAGTTCAAAATCTGTAAACACCAGGAATAAGCGGATTTGGTTCACTTACCTCTCTGAGAGTTCTTCCACGACTTCTCTCTCTGACTTCCTTCAGCTGTGTTTAACGCTGTTGAGCTGCGAGGGGAGTTTTTAGAGGAAGGTATGCACACTTTCACTTTCTATATCCTGTTTTAAACTGTTATTTGAGTTGGTTTACACCCAGGAAAAAACTTATTAATAGCAGCCGTGATGTGAGTTGACTTTCCTATAAATGGATCAGCGACCTCAGGAGGCTTTTTTTTTAAATCTGTTTTCTGCTTTTTAGTTCCTTTTGTGTTTCTTTTTTAATCATTCTGTTTCTCTCTCTGTTATTTTTATATTACTTTGTTCTGCCCTTGTTTATGTTTTGAGTTTCTTTCCGATGACTTTGTGATTGTTTTTAAAAAATATATTTGTGACTTTGTAGATACATCGTGTGAGAGCTAAGGTGTTGATGTCACACCGCTCCGCTTTGAAGCAGACGCTCACGGTTGTTTGTTATGTTTCCTCTCTCTGTTTCTGATAACCTGCTGCACACAGGTCCGAACAATAAGGTCTTACACCTGCTTTTTGGCCTTGTCATTTGGCACTATACAAATATGTATTTATTGATTGAGCGCTGCAGGAGCCTCATTTGTCAACAGAGCTGTCACTCATTATACTCCATTTTATAGAATCAAATAATAACTAAAAATGAAACTTCTCAGAAAAGGAGGGAGGACTTGAACCCAAATCAGCATGATAATAACAAGCTAGCAGACAGAAACAGGGTTTGAGAAAACTTTTCTTGACCTGTATTTTCATTTTAAAGTTCGCCCCATGTCCCAATTGATAACACAAAGGAGGCCGAGCTTATGACCTATACTGCAGCCGGTCAGTAGATGGAGCTCTAAATCTGCTTGGCTTCACTTTGAGGGAGGTGTTGTCCAAAACGCTGGACGCATCCCACACCCCTGATCAGTGTGAAAATTTCACCCCCCCCCTCATCAAGAATGGAAATTTCCCCCTCAGAGTCTGAATCATACATTATTATCTCCTTACTTGGCAGTAGAGGCCCTGATCTCTCAGGAAGCTGGTGCTCTTGTTGCAGTTTCTTGAAATATCTTTTCTTTTGTCTTGTTTCCTGTGCAGGCGAGCTGTGAAAACCTCACAGGAAGCAGGCGCATTTTAAAGAGCTCATATTCTGCCCTTTTTGGGGTTCATATATTTGATCTATGTACCTACTAAAGTATGTTCACAATAGCAAAAGTTATAAAAAAAGTGTCTGTTTTCATGAACTGCCGCTCCATGCACCGGCTCTCTTCTGACTCTCTCTCTAAGGCTCTGAAGTGCCCACGTTCAGAGTCCCCACGTGTGCCAAGTCTGATCTGATTGGTCGGCCTGTCGGCTCTGCCGTAATTGGTCAGTCACTCAGCACGGTTCTCTGAAATGTCACGCCCCTTTTACCACATTGGGAATGCAGCCACTGGCTCCGTCCGAGGGGAGCATAAACATTAGCACCTTAGCACTACTGTGCTACCGCAGACTACAGCATATCGTGGACGTGCTACAGAAGTTAACGGCATGCAACATGAGCTGCTGGGCCACAACGAGCCAATGGGCTTAGATCAGTGATCTCACACTGACAATGACGTAAGACTGGCAAATTACATACAGCTAACAGGAGGACGTAGGAGAAGCCACGTTTCCGCGGACTTTTGCACATAGATGTGACTAAACATGAACAGGACACTTGGAAAACACACTAAAGAGCATATAAAACCAGAAAAGCATAATATGGGCCCTTTAATATCCTGAGTAGAAGTCTGCATGTCCTCAGTATTCTGGATCTGTAAAGTTTAAACTCATGACTGCTATTCAAATACTGTCAGCTGCATCGTGAGCAGTCCCCTTTCCTACTTTTACTGGCATTACCCTGGACTCTAACTTTCTGATGTTTCCTGATTCTGTGGGTGATATAGATGTGTGAGAAAGCTCTGTTTACATCACATGACTCATTTAGCCAATACACATTTTTTTAGAAAGCAGAATGTATGATGTTCTCATAAGCTGTGAAGGTCATACAAGACAGCAGTGCGCTCTTAGTTGTGTAAACAGGTTTTACAGGTCCGTACTGGTTCTGCGGTCCACGTAACCATCCAAATATCATGATCTTTACTGGAGAAACTCGACAGGTTATAATTAATGAAAAGACAGAGCAATGAAATGACAGCACTTTGCATGAAACATTCTTAATCTTTTGTAAAAATTAAAATAGATTGTTCCTTTTTTATTTGGCGCCTCTTGCAGCTAAAATCAGTCATCACTCTGCTTTCAACAGAACAAAACAGCAAACCTGATTTTATGGAACCAATTTATTTTAAGGGTTACATTTGGCAGTGATACAAAATGCAATGTCTTGATTCATTATACAAATATATAAAAATACATTTGACCATTCAAATAAAATTGGTATCATCTCTTAGAGCTCACATGTAGCCTCGTGCACCCCATCCACCCTGGGCTGGGGCACTTGGTTTGATGGCACCATTGATCTTGATTCGACTGGGATCCCAGACACAATCCTCCTCCAAACCACTTGGCACCATTCCACAATTTGGTGGCACCCAGGCGGTGTCAAACACCTCCCCATATCTGGAGTCATGCCAGGTTTTCTGGCGTGGGTGGCCCTGACGATTGATGGCGATCACTCTCCCCACATTGACCACGACCTTAATGACGACCCTGTCATGCTCAGGATGATCGATGGGATAGCGGCTGGCTTTATTCAGGTCTCTGCTGAGGTAGACGCCGGGCCCGAGCATCCCACCTGAAGACTGCTGAAAACCTTTGGCCATGATGGACCGAGCAGCCTGACTGGTGGTGCCGTGGTACATGACGTACTTTTTACCATTAACTGGCGCAGAGAGACCGAGTCGAACGACCCCAGGGGGCAGGTCAAAGTCATTTTCAGCCCACTGCATGATGATGTCTGGATTACTGTCACTGTAAGAAAGAGGATTGTCAATGTTAAAACTTTAGAGGGATGTGAAGAAACTTAATATCAAAGGAATTTAAATCATTCAGGAATCAAGATAGACTTTATTGTCCCCGGAGGGAAAATGTTTCAGTTACAAGAGAATAACAAAATAAAATACATAAATATAGATCGTACAGAACATAGAGCAGACCATGTGACAGTTCTACTTTTAAATAAAAAACACCTTCTTGCAGCAGTGACATATTGGCATAGTGCACAGCCTACATTACTTTTTATTTAGAATATTAATTAGAATTAGAATTATTTTACTGGATCCAAGGCATCACAAAATGCTTTCCATTCTATACAGTATAAAAGATTCTTTGATTGAAGACCTTTATTTAATTAGCAAAACTCTCCCAAAACTTGTAAAACTTGCAACAGTTTTTCTGTGATAATACACCAAAAATAATCAGTCTCTATTCTGTTGTTCATTTTTATTCAGAGAGTTGTCCTAATGGATTGATTTGCAGTCTTCCAGCCCTGACCTGATTATAAAGTTATTCTCCATTATTGAAACTTTATGTCAACTTTTAAAGTGTTCTAATGTTCTGAGTAATTCCTGGTGTGGCTGAAGCTTTACTCTGATGGACAAACAGTTAACAGGAAATCACTTATATATATTTCCTTTGTAAAAAAAAAAAAGAGAAAGACTTTATATAGTTAAAAAAAAGAAAAAGAAACGTTTTTCTTATGTTTAATTAACGGTGTGTCCATGTACACGCCTAACAGATGTCATTTTTTCTGCTCAAACAGTAAAAGAAACTTAAGTGTGGGATCACGTACCTATTCTCTCGTCTGCTCTCTCCAGTGGTGCACGCCGTGAGGTCACTTGTCTTTTATAGGGCACAAGGTTGTAGGAGGGAATAATCATAAATGTTGAGTTCTGCTTTCACTTTCGTTTCACGGTTTGCACAGTTTTATAACTTTCGTTCATCAACAGGATGTATTTATTTAAAAGTTGGCATGCCGCCCTGCCAGCAAGTTTCAGAAAAGTTCTGGGGCTTTTCGCTTGTGACGTCATGAGTATGTTTTTCTGGTCACTGGGTAACAGAGGAGACTTCCCCTCCAAATCTTCTGTTGTTCTATGTTCTTAATTCATGTGTTTATGGAAAGCTTTGCGGCCTCTTCTGTTTAACATGTACAGTAATTTAAGGTGTTCTTATTTGCTTTTTATGTGTTTCAAGCTCCCTGTTTTGACCTCTGCTATTTTAATCCTCTGTGCAGCACTGATGAAGTATGTAAATAAATTCATTGGATTTGATTAAAAATAGTGCAATTACTTCAACTTCTTGTTTTTTGCCACTGAAAGGCTCAGAGTTCCTTCTCTTAAACTCATCCCTAAATGTTTAAATGATCAGGCTCCTCGGGTACTTGGTGACCTCGTGTCTCCAGGCTCTGTAACATGTGGAAGCTGTAATGTGTCATTTCATTAATATTCACTTGCAGCCTTTTGTGTTCAGGGGATCAACGTGTGGAATGATTTACCTGTAGGGATCCAGACTGGAGTCATTTTAAAACTCAAACTGAAACATTTTTTTTTAGTCTTGTAGTGCGTTCACACTTGGTAACGTTGTCTTTTTTAATGGAACTAAGTTAAGCAGAGAAGAGAGTGATCTATAATCTATCAATAAACTGGTGTTAGGACACGTCTGTGTGAATTTCACGGTGTGCAGATGCTTAGTGACTCTCACGGTCAGAGATAGTGGGCATGGTGTCACGCGTGATACTTATAAGACAGCTCTGGTTATAAAGCTGCTGCATCATGCTCACTGAAAGTTCAGTGTGCGCTGAAAAAAACACTCCGATCACCACCTGCATCACAGTGTGAACTAAAGTCTGCCCTAGTGTTAAAGATTCACCCCGCCACCCATCGTAGTGCGCGTTCTGCCCGCTCGCCTCATAGACTGTAAATATTATGTTCACCTGCCTGGGAGCTGGAGTCTGACGTCACTTTTTTGTGCCGTCCACTTTGCCATTTCGTTTTCGAGTTGGTTTGAATTATGATCACTTTTTAGCACGGCAAGTTTGAAAAGGAAAAGCCAAAGACCTTTTTGTTTTCATTTGAATTCTGTCATACAATATGCATACATAGAGAGTAAAAGTATAATGCAAACTGGATGACTGAATATTCATTTTAAATATAGGTCAAATAATGCATCTATAATCTGAAAGTTAAAACGTGTTTCTGTTCCTGTATTTTCATTTTAAAATTAGATTTTTCATTTGAATTATGATACAGATGTAGCGGGGCATTTTTTGAAAATGATAAAGCAAATGTAATTTTCTTCCTCATTTTAATTTAGTCAAAGAATGTGCACTTTTGAAGTTGAAAACTAAAATTCAAATTAGATAAATTAATCATCATTTTATTTTTTAGTCAAATAATACACTCATTCTGAAATTAAAAAGCATTTCTGTTAATGCATTTGAATTTTCAAATTAGCTTTATCATTTGAATTTTGATCACTAATCGCTTCCATACAAACACACTGCATACAAACATCAAAATAAAAGAGCAAATCTGATTTTATTTAACCAATTTATTTTCCAGGTTGAAATGAAAAAGTATAAAAAAAACCCACAATGTCAATTACTTTAAACCAAATTTATAAAGATTCATGAACAATGAAAATGAATTGGTAACAGCATGTACAGCTCACATGTAGCCGTATGCACCGTATCCAGCAGAAGGCTGCATAGGGCGTGGTTTGATGGCACTAATGATCTGGATTCGATTGGGATCCCAGACACAATCCTCCTCCAAACCGCTTGACACCATTCCACATCTGGGTGGCACCCAGGCGGTGTCAAACACCTCGCCGTATCTGTAGTCGTGCCAGGTCTTCTGACGCGGGTGGCCCTGATAATTGATGGCGATCACTCTCCCCACATTGACCACGACCTTAATGACGACCCTGTCGTGCTCAGGATGTTTGATGGGGTAGCGGCTGGCTTTATCCAGGACTCTGCTGAGGTAGACACCGGGGCCGAGCATCCCGCCTGCAGACTGCTGAAAACCTGTGGCCATGATGGACCGAGCAGCCTGACTGGTGGTGCCGTGGTACATGACATATCGCCTACCACTGACCGGCTCAGAGAGATCCAGTCGACCAACCCCAAGTGGCAGATCACCGTCATCCTCAGCCCACTGGTACATTTTGTCAATATCACTGTAGGTGAGGAAATAAACAACACTGAAAATATACTGTATGCAGCAGGAATTCAAAATCTTGACTGAAAAGGCTCAGTTTGAAATTATCTATGGTCATATGCATTTTAGATTTTTTTAGTGCAGTCGTAAACAGATTTTTTCTTTAGTACAAGCACACAACATACTTCTGGCTGGTCTGCATATATCGAAGTGGACTAATGCAGTCATGTAAACGTTGGGCCAGGTTCTCATTTCAGGTACCCAGCTGTGAATTAAAAGCTAACTTACAGCTAACATGCTCACTTAGTCAATGCTAACATGCTCACTTAGTCAATGCTAACATGCTGCTCCTCAACATTACATTACCTTACATTTACTAATAAGCAACAAACACATTGGTGAGCTGCATGTGTGAACGTAAAGAGGTCAACTTTTTTCAACCTGACTTCATCAGGACTGTTTCCTGCCCGCCCCCTCGTTCAGTCGGGGTTAATATTACACAACCAGTGGGTGACCATCGTGACAGTTGTGCAGGTAATGAAGCTGCTTCAATTTGTTTTCTGCCAATAATTACACTACTTTCCACACTTCCTGTTCATCGTACTGAAAATAACCGTCTCCCTTCCTGATTCTTTATCATGAAAAGGAAACGCTTAGGGATGAGAAGTAACTGTCCGTAGATGGCAAAGACTTCCTAAAGAGTTTCATATTCATGCTATCCCATGTCAGTGTAAAACACTCTAAATTTCACCGTGCATACATCTATAGACTGTTCTGTTTTTCAGACTGCTTCCCCGTTTTATAACTCTGGTCTGACTGAACTTTATCTCTCCCTTTTTCTGAGACACGATGTTTTCCTGCAGCTTCCTGCAGACATCAGGATGCATCTGTTTTTTATTAGAGAGCTGACAGCTGAGTCAGACATCCAGAAAAATCATGTTTAACTTTAGTCTTAAAAGCAAACTTTATATCTGATATTTAACTAACGGTGTGTCCATGAACACGCCTAACAGATGTCATTTATTCTGCTCAAACAGTAAAAGAAACAAAAGTGTGGGATCACGTACCTCTCGTCTCGTCTGCTCTCTCCAGTGGTGCACGCCGTGAGGTCGCTTTTGCAGTTTTATAACCTTTGTTCATCAACAGGATGTATTTATGTTTTTCTGGTCACTGGGTAACAGAGGAGACTTCCCCTCCAAATCTTCTGTTGTTCTATGTTCTTAATTCATGTGTTTATGGAAAGCTTTGCGGCCTCTTGTGTTTAACATGTACAGTAATTTAAGGTGTTCTTATTTGCTTTTTGTGTTTCAAGCTCCCTGTTTTGACCTCTGCTATTTTAATCCTCTGTGCAGCACTGATGTAGTATGTAAATAAATTCATTGGATTTGATTAAAAATAGTGCAATTACTTCAACTTCTTGTTTTTTGCCACTGAAAGGCTCAGAGTTCCTTCTCTTAAACTCATCCCTAAATGTTTAAATAATCAGGCTCCTCGGGTGCTTGGTGACCTCGTGTCTCCAGGCTCTGTAACATGTGGAAGCTGTAATGTGTCATTTCATTAATATTCACTTGCAGCCTTTTGTGTTCAGGGGATCAACGTGTGGAATGATTTACCTGCAGGGATCCAGACTGGAGTCATTTTAAAACTCAAACTGAAACATTTTTTTTTAGTCTTGTAGTGCGTTCACACTTGGTAACGTTGTCTCACGCGTTTGGTGTTTTCACACATGAAACAAAATTCACTTCCAAGCTGTATGTGATGATTTTTTTGACCCAGAAGTTTCCCTGCAGGCTCCTGTACTAAAATGTCCTCGTGAAGTTCGGCTAAGCTGGTGGTTCCCAAACTTCTGCCAGGGATGAAAATATATTTTTTAGACCCCTCTCCCCCCCTCACCATACACATCATCATATATCAACAAACACTAAACACACATCATCTTCCTCGTAGCATACTCCTTCTTCAGATGCAGCACACCCTGAATTTTTAGATACTTTCACCAGTGCATTTATGAAAAAAGTCTTCTGAATGGGAGCGTGCCTATGTTCCCACATTTCCTTTTTCATAAATTTGTATCAGATTTTATCCTCCTTTCTCCCAATTTGGTAGCCAATTAATTTTGAGAAAAATCTCAAATGTGGGACCATAGGGCTGTGAGACCATAGGGCTGTGAGACCATAGGGCTGTGGGACCATAGGGCTGTGGGACCATTGGGCTGTGGGACCATTGGGCTGTGAGACCATTGGGCTGTGGGACCATTGGGCTGTGGGACCATTGGGCTGTGGGACCATTGGGCTGTGAGACCATTGGGCTGTGAGACCATTGGGCTGTGAGACCATTGGGCTGTGAGACCATTGGGTTGTGGGACCATTGGGCTGTGGGACCATTGGGCTGTGAGACCATAGGGCTGTGGGACCATTGGGCTGTGAGACCATTGGGCTGTGGGACCATAGGGCTGTGGGACCATTGGGCTGTGAGACCATTGGGCTGTGAGACCATTGGGCTGTGAGACCATTGGGCTGTGGGACCATAGGGCTGTGGGACCATTGGGCTGTGGGACCATTGGGCTGTGGGACCATTGGGCTGTGGGACCATTTGGGGCTGACCCCTTCTGAATAACAATCTGAGACTTTCATTGACAAAAACAAGCACTTCAAACAGATTACATTTATCAGGCGTATGCAACATAAATGATTTCTCTGCAGCTATTACAACCAGTTTCTCAGTGAAGGAAATCTTCTGGAGCAGTTTGAACAAAATCAGTCTTTTCTATTTTTTATTAAAACCCCAAGATATGAAAACAAATAGGTCTGGGGTTAAATTGCCTTCCAAACTGTCTCCCTACTTTGCTCAAGTATGAGTCAAATATGACGTGAAATCAAGTTTAAATGCTTCTGCAACTTTTTTCCCGGTGTGTCTTTAAAGATGCATTTATATCACAGTTGTTGAGCGTGTCGAGCTCTACATGTGGATGACACATTTGTCCCTTTCTCCGGGTGTGATTTAAAACAGACCGTGGCAGCTCATCTGCAGTGACTCACCCTGAAACATGAGCATGAGACAAACATTACAATCTCTGGTTGGTTTCCCTTCACTCACGGAGTTGTTGTTTCGCTCTTCAGATAGACGCGCTTGAATTTTTCTTCATGAATGACTGCTGGAGTAAAAAAAGAGATGGCAGAAAATAAGCACATGTTGCAAAGTGCTTCTTTTAATCTCGACTATTTCACTAAAATGATGACGACATACCTGAACATTTAGTCAGTAATAACTCCTGTCTCTGGGGTTTATTCATTTTTATTTAACCTCCTTCAAAAGTCCAGTCTTTGAGTTGTTAAGTCTGAATGTGATTCAACTGAAGATGTGTCCTCAATCAATCTTTCTGAAAAATCAATCATATGAGGGCCGTTTAAAAGACTGAGTATACTCCATCACAGACACTTGTTGGATGGTTGAACATCTTCTGGCCCGTGGATTCCCTAAAAAAAAAAGCGTCACACTTGATTATTTCTGTGAGCTCTACCGACAAACTGATGACACATACACCTTTTTATTTCTGCACAGAACCAGTTCAACAAATGTACCCGAAGATTAAAATATGACGCATTGTGACTCATCTGTTTCTCTATCTTTGTTTTACTGCCTCTGTCACATGCGCTAATGTTAATTGTGTTGTTTGATATCTGTGTTGTCTTTCTCTTATTGTCTTCTCTGCAACAGAAGCACAGTGAAGTAAAAAATAAAAATAGTGTGAATAAGCAGCTGTAAAGTTTAACATTTAAAGAATTAAGAGCAAAACCTTTGCGCGGGTCGGCCATTTTTATTCTCGCTAGCGAAGGAGTGATGTCTGCTGGGAAAACTCAGGGGGGGGTCATTACATTACAAGAGACACACACACCAAAACGGAGCGTTCTGAGAGAGCTGGTTTATACAGGGTCACAAACCTCCTCTGGTGCTTGATTCATGTTATATTTGGACCAAAGCACAGCACAGATGTTTCATTTAGACCTCAGGGGACTGTTTGAAAAGGTGGAGGAGGGGACTGTTTGAAAAGGTGGAGGAGGGGACTGTTTGAAAAGGTGGAGGAGGGGACTGTTTGGAAAGGTGGAGGAGGGGACTGTTTGGAAAGGTGGAGGAGGGGGATGATATGTCTTCTTTAAAAATAACTAGTAGCTCTCTTTCTGCCCGATGTTGAGTTTCACTCATGCCCCTTCTCCAACTTCCAGAGCTGGTTGGGAGTCAGTGTCTAAACTTGCACCAGTTCTTTGTGTTGTGTTTTTTGTATTCTGTGTTGGGGAGGAGCATTGTCCGCACAAAATAAGAACAAACTGGACAGGGTTGTTAAACGTGCAGCATTTCTTACCTGATAAACCACTACACACTGAGACTAGTGAAGAGGATCATAGCAGACCCTCTGCACCCCCCTTTGGTCTGAGTATGAACTCTTGACTTCTGGACCACAGGCACAGGATGATCAGGATGAGGACATCACATGCATTCCATATATATATCTAAGATCAGGAATATCCTGTCACTAAATGATGCAGAAAAACTAGTTCATGCATTTGTTACCTCCAGATTGGATTATTGTAACTCTATTTTGTCAGGGTGCTCTGGAAAGTCTCTAAAGACTCTTCAACTAGTCCAGAACGTTGCAGCTCGTGTACTGACCAGAACTAGGAAAAGGGACCACATCACTCCTGTCCTGGCTTCTCTGCACTGGCTCCCTATACAGTCTAGAATAGAATTCAAGATCCTTCTTCTCACTTACAAAGCTCTAAATGGCCAGGCACCATCTTATCTTAAGGAGCTACTAGTGCCGTACTGTCCCTCAAGAACACTACGGTCCCAGAGTGCAGGCCTGCTGGTGGTACCTACAGTCTCTAAGTGTACTATGGGAGGTAAAGCCTTCAGTTATCGGGCTCCTCTCCTCTGGAATCGTCTTCCAGCCGGGGTCCGTGAGGCAGACACAGTCTGTATTTTTAAGAATAGACTTAAAACTTTCCTTTTTGATAAATCTTA